CCTACGAAGGTAAGTTTAGAACTAAAAATTTTGCAGGGGTATAAGTGATTTCATCCCCAGACCCTCTCCCTGTCCTAGGGCACGAGGGACAATCTGAGGGACCCTTGAAACTCTGGAGGGGCATTAATGATTTCATCCCCAGACCTTATCCCCATCCTGGGACACGGGGGACAATCTGAGGGACCCTAGAAATCCAGAGGCAAGTTTAAAAATTTTGCAGAGGCATAAGTAAAATTTATCATGGGGCAAGAACTTGCGAAAGTACAGATGATTAAGGAAATCAGAGATCTGCTCCTGTCACAAGGCACCGATACCAAGTTTAAGGCCTCACAGAAGTTCGTTGAAACTGTCTGTGACGTATCCCCATGGTTTGCTCTCTTTATAGCCACCTTTTCCCTCTGGCACTTGGTAAAAACATTCTTTGTTTCTCCTCAAACGGAGGTGCAACCATTCCTTGAAAAATTATCTGTAAGAAGGGGGAAAGATACGTAAAGATTGTCAAAATATAAAAAATAAATAAATTAAAAAAAAAAAAGAAGGGGGAAGGAGCCGCAAACCAGAGTAAGTAGACAAAAGGAACCCTAAACCAGAATAAGAAGACAGAGGGGACCCCAAACCAGCATAAAAAAGGAGCAGGAACCCCCAAACCAGACAAAGTCTGGAGAAACTGCGTGAAGAAGATCCGCGGTCCTCTTCTGAGGAGGAGGAAGGGGAAGAGGATAGAAGAGAGTTTGTCGAGGCTCCTCCACCCATAGAGCATGTGCCCACAGAGTGTGTGCCAAGCAAAAATCACTTTTGGCCAGGCACAGAGTCCTCTGTGCTGCCTGTGCCATCGGCGCCATTAAATCTGGGTACAGCAGTGACAGATTTACAGGAGCAACTTCAGCCTCTCTTCCTTCAGTTGAGGCAAGAATAGCTATAGCCCCAGACAAACTACAACTTGTTTCTCCGTTTAATTATTTGGAATTTGAACTTTTTCAGAATTGTATTAACCTCCCCCCAAATTTCCATTGCCTAGATGCTTTTAGCCATCTTTAAAAGGCATCAAGAATTTTAAAATTTCAAATTCTAGGGCTTCCCTTGGTATTCTTACAAGGCCTCAAGAATGCCAACGAATTTATCTCCCATTTTGTGGAGACTGTTAATCAGGTTGATTGAATCATATTAAATTATTGCCAAATGGACGTGACACATATCCCAGAGTTTGGGACACTAAAATATGTGCATGTTACTATCGATACTTGCTCTGGATTTATTCTAGATATTCCTCCGAGAGGGGAACAAGTCAAGCATGCTCTAACCCATTGCTATGAATGTTTTTCCATCTTGGGACCTGTCAAAGTTATTAAAACTGATAATGGCCCTTGCTCTATTAGCAGTAAGCTTTAATATACAACTAATTACAGGTATTCCTTATAATTCTCAAGGGCAAGGTATTGTGGAACGCACCAACCGTACTATTAAGGATTACCTTATTAAAACAAACAAGGGGGAGTATAGCACTTCCTGAGATCATTTGAACCTTGTATTATTTATCTTAAATTTTCTAATATTGGATGCTGAAGGACTGTCTGCTGCAGATCATCATTGGAATCCGTCTCAGAAGCAGAAGCGTTACGTGATGTGGAAGGATCTCTTGACTGGTCAGTGGAAAAGTCCAGATCCTGTTCTCACATGGGGGCGAGGATCAGATTGTATTTTCCCAGAAAACGAAAAAGGCCCATGGTGGATTCCTGAGAGACTCGTCCGGCAAGTTCCTGCTGCTGAATCTTGTGAAAGCTGGGTACTTGCCATGGTGATGGCATTTGAGCCAGAAGATCGATGGGACAAGCAAGTATATTAGGCCTTTATATATTATATAAGTATATTAGTATATTGTTAAGCACTCCTTGTTTTTTTTCTTTCTCCTATAAGCACTAGGGTCCAGATATTTCCTGCGTTTTCTAAGTGGCAGTTTTATGGGGAATGGGCAGGCGCTGCATGTCCCCCCTTTCCCTTATTAAGGGAGGCAATTATTCCTATGGAAATTATTAGTTCAATCACTCCTCTGGATTTGAGGACTCACTCTCATGGGTGAACCTTAGCTCCCTGAATTTTAATCCCGTGTCTGCCTGTGTTATCCCCCCATTTTTCTCTTACATACAGAAAACATCTCTGAAGTGAATTGCACCTAGGTCAGCTGCACCCCAACAGCATGTTGGAATGGCAAAGGTGATACTGCTGTTGTCATGCGGCTGCCCAGAATCCTGCCTGTGCCTGTCGGGACTAATCGAGAGGCCTCTGTTGGCCTGATAAGGCATAAAAAAGACTTTGGCATAACATCAACCATCGTAGCCAGCGTTGCCCTGGCGACGGTAGCCACCACTGCAGCAGCAGTGACCCTAGGACACCCTACAGAGACCGCTGAGACCATGAACAAGCTTGTGGAACTGACTGCCTGAGCTATGGAACAACAGAGCTGTATAGATGAACACGTGCGGGTGGGCACGCTTATGTTGTAACAGCAGGTTGATTTGTTGGCAGAGGAGCAGTGGATGCTATGGGATATGGTCAGAGCCTCTTGTTTCCCATCCTATGTCTTTATGTATGCAACACCTGCGCAAGTGCCAAACGCTTCCCAAGCCTGGGAACTGCTGTCTGCTTATTGCTACTAAGCTAAAGATACTCCTAGCCATGGAACAGGGTTACCAGCCTCCCCAAGCATGGTTTATGCAGTTGAGGCAGGCAACATGTTGAATGGCAGCCGGTGACGAGTAAGATGGACCAGGCACTGACCAACCTAAGACAGGGGTGCCGTCATGCTACGGGGATTCCCGATGATGGGTAAGGCTGATAACCTGAGAGTCCACAACCTAAGACAGGTGCATTCAAGTCTGCTTTAAAACAAAAAAGGGGATCACTTGTGGGATATGGAGTTGATTAGAGCTTGTTAGCCTGGGCAGGAACAGGAACTGGGCTGGTAGCTAAAAACACCTAGACTAATTGGACTCATCTATATCCAATATCCTGCTAAATGAGGATGTGGGCGCGAGGGAGGGGGGAGAGTATGTAAGGAGAGTTGAAGGAACAAGAAAGTGTGACTTCACAGAGACTTCTACCATCACTGGTCTCCTGTGGGTGCTTCATCCCCAGACCCTCTCCCAGTCCATGTTACTGGCTCTGCTGGTCAGAGCACATTTCCTTGGTTCTGTTCTTGGTTGTTGACCTGAGCAGCCCAGCCCTCCTCCTGCAGTCTCTTCACACACAGCAACTGCCACCCTTTACTCCTTTTATCTAGGACCATGAAAGCCAGCATGTAGTGGAGGGTGCCCAGTGCTTCCAGCCACTGCTTCTGAAGGGTCTTGTTGGGTAGGATGGTGGAAGTGCTGTAGGATGGTGGAAGTGGGTAGGACAGTGGAGGTGCAGCTTCTTTTCCTGTAGAGTCAGGCAGGGTCCCAGCTGTTCCCTGTGCCAGTGTCCAGTGTATGGTTGCGGAGAAGGCTTGTGTTTAGCCTCCAAAATCTTCAATGTCCTCTAAAACTGAATTTGAATGTAGTTTATCTTTCAATCTGGGCTTGCCCCTGGGAGGAGCAGGGCAGGTGTGAGGGTGTGCAGGGAGAGGGATCAATAGATGGTGCCCTGCTTTGGATACTAAGAGGGGACAAGTAGCTTGCTAGTGTCTTCACAGTCTCCAGGTATGCAGCAGGAGCCAACTGGAGACTGGACTGAGAAGAATGTCGAATGGTGACTTCTCGACTCCCTAGGAGCTACTGCTAGTCCTGAGGCCTGAGGGAACCTGCCCAGTGATCACAGAAACACACACAAATGCCTCAGCACTGTCTCCTCTTCATGGTTGCAGAGTAGCTGCCATTTGCATAGGTGAGAACCACAAGTACTTGGGCAAGGACAATCTAGCACACCTTTGCTTCTTGAGCTGCTACAGAAATTACTCCCTATGGGGCATAGACAGTGTGTCCACCTGTGCCAGCTGGATCCTACTGCTCTGGAGTGGCTACCCAGCTATGGGTGACACAGCACAGCCAGGTCCTCTCCTATAGCCAAGATTTGGAGGTTCATATTTCACAGCAGCCACATAGTCAGCAATGGGCAGGAGGAAGCCCCTGTGGTCAGAGGCCATGCTCAGCTGGGACCCAGGGCTTCTATAGCCAGCAGGCTGGGCTAAGCCTGCTGCATCCCAGAACAGCTAGAGGTGCTAGCTCTCCTGGAAGGAAAATATAGGGACCCAGGAGGCTGTGGGGGAGTTGGGTTTCTGCTCAGCCACCTCAGGTGCACCCCAACATGGTTTCCCTTAACCTCTGTTCCAACAACGACTCACCGATCCCTTCTGACAGTGGAAACACTGGCTCAGGGCTTTGCATTCAGCCTCGGTCAACCAGTACAGTCCCCTCACCATCCCCAGGTTTGCACAACAGATTGGCAACTGGGTTTGAGGATAAGAGTAGAGAGGGTACTGTGCAGGTAGTGCTGGGACCTGAAGTTTTTTTCAGGTCCATCCATGTGGGAGGAAGGCAAGGCCCTAACCCCTGGCCATGAACAGAGGTCGAGGTGGAGGTAGAGATGGGATCAGCAGGCAGCCTGGGCAGGTAGGAGTACCCCCAGGCCTGTTGGCGTGTGCAGCTACAGGATGCAGGCCAGCCAAGGATGCAAACCAAGGCTTGCAGGTATGGAGTGTATACCTCTCAGGGATCTGGTTCAGGAGTAGGGCTGGAGCCATGGACAGGGATTTAGAAGGGGCTGTGGGACCCCAACTCTATATGAACCCGGTACTCAGCTTTTCTCTGAAAAATTTATTCAGTTATTTTTAAAGTTAAGATTACAGAAAGAGAAAGAGATGGATCTTCCATCTGCTGAAACACTACCCAAAAGATCCCATCAGTCAGGCCCAGCTAAGTCCAGCAGCTAGGACCTTGAGGCATCTAGGTCCCACGTGTGTGTAAGGACCTAAGCACTTGGACAATCTCCTGCTGCTTTCCCAACTATGTCCAAAATCTAGCTGGTGCCTTTGTTCACATGGAGAGAGGGAGAGGAAGTCCTTGTCCCAGGTCTTGCAGCAGAGTCTTCTCGAACTGGCATGGAATCAGGGTCCTGAGCCTCAATACCAGGCAGCAAGTTTGCAGCAAGATAGTACAGGACAGGACAAGATGGGGTGTGGGGGGGGGCTGTTCTTGGCCATGCTCACTTCCAATACAGCCTTTACTGGATGGCAGGGCACAGCAAGAGCTGCAGACTCAGGGCATGGGCTCAGGGATCCATGGGGGTGAGGCCAGGTCTAACAGAGGATGAGGTGGGTGGAGGCAGGGACACCACAGCTTTCCTTGTGCTCCTCAAACAGTCGCTCCAGGGCCTCCATGTAGAGCCTGTGGTAGTGGTCAACCTGCTTCTCAGTGGGTGTGCTGAGCTGGGGCACAGGGATGGGGGTGCCCACTGCAGGGAAAAGAGACATAGGTGAGCCAGAGACTGCCATTATCTCTACCCCCAAGGCTGCTCCCTTCTGTGCAGGTGGGCACTCACCCACAGTTGTGATGGGCCTGGCAAGGGGCAGCAGACCCCAGGAGTTGGGTGAGAAGAGACTTTGGCCCCAGAAGACACAGGGTGGAAAGCCAACAATCTTCTTAAAGATGACTTGGCACAGGTATGGCCAGGAACCCTCTGCAAAAGTCTTAGTGTTGAAGACATCATTCTCCCCAAAGGAGTATGTGGGCACCAGGGATGCCCTGTAGAGATAGTAGGAAGGTTGGGTCCTGTACTGACCCCACAATGGAAACGTTGTAGACTCAGATTTTTCTTCAGTTCTTTTATGACTCCTCAAAGTCTTTGGAAGCTCATGATCATGTCTGTACAAAATGTTCTGGAGACGCCTCTCCTGTGTTGAGAAATGCATGTGCAGTGGACTTTCCACATGCACCTTGTCACTTAGGGTTTGCAACTGCAGCCCTGGGGCAAGGCTGGCACCAGCCTCGTGTTCAGGGTAAGGTCAACTGCAAGGATTTGTTTTTGAGACAGAGTCAGAAAGAGAACCCAGAGTTTCTGGTCCCACAGGCCTTGTTCTAATAAGTTCTAATAAGTGCTGAGAGTGGAGGGAGCCTGGGACTTTGGCACCACAGAGGCCAGACACCAGACCCTGAGGTGCTGACAGGTGCCTCCAGGTGTGGAGTGTGATGCTCAGTTCTGGACACTCCAGCATCACCTGCAGGCATTCAGAGGGGTGGACACACAGAGCACAGCCCAGCGTGGGGTCTCACAATCCACTCACCCATATCTCAGTGCCAGGCGAACAAAACCTTTGTGTCTCTTAAGTGCAAGGCAGTGTTGTCCTGGGGTTGTGTACAGGGATTCCTGGGCACCCCCGGTGACAATGACCACTGCCTGGCCCAGCTGGGGCTGAGACAGGACAAAATCCAGGCTGTGACGGCTCACGGGTCGCAGTCCTGTGGCAAAAGCAGGTGGGGAGCAGTCAGCACTGCACCTGGGGTTCCTAGTCTTTCAGCCTTTAGCATGGAAAGGGGGCCCCTTCTCCCTCCTCCCACCACCCACTATCACCCCTCCCCTGCTCCTGCAGAGTAGGCTCAGTGTTCAGGACAGGTGCCCTGTCCCCCTCCCACATGAGTTTCAGATTCCTGGAGGGAGCACACTGGACATGGATGTTCCCCGCATTAACTTTGCAGCTCACCAACAGCCATGATGTAGTCCCGGAAGACTGGTAGGTGGAAGAGGCCGGCCAGAGTGGCTAGCCAGGGCTGTATTCCTGGGAAGTGCTGGGAGAAGCCGTTGCAATTAGTGAGGAAATTACAGAAGACTCCAGTGCTCATGATTCCATGGGGGTGAGATCCCAGCACATAGTTCTGTTTAGAGTGCAGCTCTGCCGTCTTCACCAGCTTCACACGAATGTTCAGAAGAGGAGGGAGACATAGAAAACAGCACACAGTTGGAGGTTCTGCCCTGTGCCCCAACAGATCTCAGAGCTCAAGATCCTGGGATGGGCTCAGGGTCCACCTCTCCACCCCCTGCCCCTCTGTGTTCTAAGGCAGCAGGGCTCAGGTTGTAGGATAGTGAAAGGAGAGCAGGTGCAGGGGAGGGGCAGAGGAGGAGGCAGAGAAAACAAGGCATTTCATGGGATGGTAACCCATTACCTTGATAGGGAAATAGTCCTTTTGATGTTTCCAAACCTTTCTGGTCCTTAGCCACTTCCACCGTCTTCCTCCTGTGGGCAGACAGCCGGGTGGCAGAATCCCTGAGGCAGCCTCTGCATCTCCCCTCCATTGGAGCCCTGCCTGAGCTCACCTTGGCTGGGGGTGTCCCGGTCCACGTAGAGCCACATCAAGTAGAGAACAGTCAGAGGCCAGAGCCGCGTGAAGAAGAGGAGGAAGAGGAGAATGGAGGCACAAGGGCCTGGGGTAAGGAATGAGGAAGAAATGTGAGTTCCCTTAAAAGAGTTACTCAAGCCACTCCTGCATTCATGTAGCACCTGTCAGGGACATCTTCTCTGTTCTTGTCTCTTCTCCAGGCATCCTGAGCACTCTTCAGCCATCCCCTCTGCATTCCCCTCTCCCTGGGCTGACCCCAGGCACTTAAGTCTCCCCCTCTTACCTAGAAACAGGAAACTCAGCACATATTGGAAGGCTCCCAGTGTTTCCAGCCACTGCTTCTGCAGGGTCTTGTTGGGGCAGGAGGATGGAGGTATTGTAAGGATGTCCATTCTAGCAGCTCCCTAGACCTTCAGATCAGGCTAGGTCTCCAGGTTTCTGTGTCAACGTCCAGTGAGTGGGCCTGTCCAGTTCTTTCTGGAGCCCAGTGTCTCCAAGCTCCTCGGAGACTGATGTTGAACTGATCCTGGGTCTGTCATCTGGGCTGGCCCATGGGCGGAGCTGGAGAATGCAACGTGGGGCATTGGGACATCAGGGTGCCCAATAAATAGTCAAGGACCGAGTAAGAAGTTGGCCTGACTGTCCATGGGTTCCTCAGCTATGACAATTGTAAATTCTGTGCCAACTTATCTGTGTTTATCTCCTTCTCTCATGGCTTTTTGGGTGCCTTGGTGTGCCCTGACCACCCTGCCTGCAAACACACCAATGTCATAGTCATTCTGGCACCTGTTGTTACCTAGAGGACTGCTTAAGCTCATGTCAACACCTGCCTCGATAAGGAGCCGAAGTTTGACTCTGGGGAGCCCATTAGACCTTAGCTGTTTGAACTACTGGTGAACCACTGCATGGTGCGTGTCAAGGCCTTGCACATTGTCTACCTGGACCTGCTGGGCCATGAGTATCAGTTCCTAGGATGGTAGCCCCTGTGCAGGTACCCAGTGGTCATTGACATCCCCTGGTCTGTATCCACCACAGGAGGGGCAGTGATAGCATTCGGGGGGGCGGGGGAGGGAAAGTGTCTGTACATACACTTGTGTTATGGTGGACAAGGCTGTTTCCTGGTGGACCTCCTCAAGGCTTTGTGGAATTAGCTTGAAAAGGCCTGGGCTCCCAGGCATCATGGTGGGCATGGATGGGTAGCAGGAGTTCCAGGTAGCCTTGGGACAGGCACAGGGGCAGAGCGCTTTTTGCCACAATGCAATGCAATATTTAAGTTGAATGGGGGTGGGAGGTGGGGGGAGCGGTGCACAATATAAAAGGAGTTAGATCCACCATTAAGATTAAATTTAAAGAGGGTTTCCAAGGGGATTCTCCCAGCAGGCTCAAGTAGAAAACCTTTCTCGGCTTTGCCCAGCAGCTTTTATTCTCAGGGTACCGTGATCAGCATTAATGCTGGCATGTCTTCGGGGTCACCGGAAGTTACTACGGAATATGAGGGAGCAGAGATACAATGCGATGGACCTCAGTGTCTGCGAGTTTCTCATGCCATCTCAACATGCACGATGTTTTCCTTTTTTTTTTTTTTTGCTTATTTATTTTGCATGAACTTTTTCTGAAGAACTTCAGTATCTCTGCCTTTTTGCTATTCTAAGTGATTAAGGGAAAACCAGTTGCTAATAGACGAAAAGCCGCCTGATTAGCTGCTTTCGTTCTTAGACTCACTATAATTCAAAGTTAAAGTCAATGAGCACACTGTTAGTGCCTCACTGCTCACCCAAATATGCGGAATCAACCAGTTCAAAGGGTGTTGGCTCAATGAAAAAGCTAATTTGACAGAATCCTACATCTGGATAGCCAAAGTGTCTTGGCGAGGATTTTGAAAATCCACATTTCGTTGTGTAAATGGGAGCAGTACCTCGATCTATCACTATGACATGGTGACATTTAGGAGTCCTCGGCAGTCTACTGAAGTTAGCTGTGTTACTTTGATTCACAATAATATTTGTATATATCTTATATATTTATATGTAATATATTTGTAATAATATGATAGTATATAAACAACATAATATATATTATGTATCTAACATAGATCATTATGCCTTATGAGCAAAGGAAAGCTTTCTCAGAACTCACGGTCTGTACCTGGACACTCTGCTGGTGTTTGGTTAACTCCGTGTTCTTTGCTCATGGCCATGTTCACACTAAGACGTCCTCTCCTACAGGTCCCTGCTCAGCAGGCGACTGCTGCGACCTGTGTGGTGATAAGCAGGGATAAAGAGGGGGGCCACAAGCAATTAAGAAAGGAAAGAGACTGAGATTCAAGTTTAGATTTAAAGCAGGAAGCTGGACGTAAGTTTCCCAGCTGGCTGAAGAAAAAGCTCTTCTCAGCTTTGCCTTGAAAGACCCAAGGGGACTGGGTCCCGCTCTGGGCTTGGGGCCCTCCGACGGAGACACCAGGCAGCAGACCAATAGATGTAAACACACGAGGCAAGCTTATTTTCACAGGGGCCCGTGGACGTCCTCGTTCTTTCCGAACAAAGGAGCGCGCCCAGGCCGAAAAGTAAGGCACTTTTATAGGGTTTCAAAAGCAGGAAGCAGGTTACAGAAGCAGATGCATAGTTACAGGGTTTTCATTGGTACAGTCAAATTAAGCAAGGCTGCTTATCTTAAAAAAATAGTTATTGCTTTAAACATATTGCTTTAAACACTTTCTGAGAAACAGGAACTTTTTTTTTTTAATTTCTCTTTTCTAAGTATTTCGAAGAGTACTTGACATTCTTAGTTCCTAACACCTGTTCTGTTTGTTCAGAGCTGCTAGCCCGCAAGTGTCCTGTTATTGTCTAAGTTCTAAAACCGGGTGGGGGTCTTTCAGCCTGGCAGCTTTTAATTTGTTTAAATTTTATTTTTAATGATGTTTACAGAGTTGATTAAGGTAGTCTGTCCCAGGTAGCCTTGGGACAGGCTTTTGGCTTTTGGCTACAACCTGCAATGCAGTGATTCAGTTTGAATGTGGAGAAGCAGTGCATAATTAAGAAAGGAAATAGAGAACCCAGTGCAATGGCTTAGTGGCTTAGCCCTCACCTTGCATGTGGTAGATCGCATAAGGGCGCTGGTTCAACTCCTGGCTGCTCCATTTCCATTCTACTCTGAGTCTTGCCAAGGAAAGGAGTAGAGGGTGATCAAAAGCTCTGTGTCCCTTCACCCATGTGGCAGACAAGAGGAGGTTCCTGGTGCCTAGTTTCTGATTTGCCTGGCTCCAGTCTTTGTGGGCACTTGGAGAGTGAGTCAACAGACACAGGATCCTTCTCTCTGTCTCATCTACTCCCTGTAAATCTGCCTTTAAAAGAAAATAAATGATTCTCTTTTTTAAAAGATTTATTTATTGGAAAGTTAGATATACAGAGAGGAGGAGAGACAGAGAGGAAGATCTTCCGTCCGATGATTCACTCCCCAAGTGAGCGCAATGGCTGATGCTATGCCAATCCGAAGCCAGGATCCAGGAACTTCTTCTGTGTCTCCCACATGGGTGCAGGGTCCCAAGGCTTTGGACCGTTCTCTGTTGCTTTCCCAGGCCACAAGCAGAGAGCTGGATGGGAAGTGGAGCTGCTGGGATAGAACCGGCGCCCATATGGGATCCTGGCACATTCAAGGTATTTAGCCGCTAGGCCACGCCGCAGGGCCTGAAAAGAAATAATTCTTAAAAAGATAAGAAAATAGATTCAGCATCAAGGTTAGATATAAGTGGGTGGTTGGGAGGGTTCTCCCAGCAGGTTGAAGGAGAGAATCTTTGTTGGCTTTGCCCGGCAACTTTTTTTTTTTTTTTAAGATTTTATTTATTGGAAAAGTCAGATATACAGAGAGGAGGAGAGGCAGAGAGGAAGATCTTCCATCCGGTGATTCATTCCACAAGTGAGCGCAATGGTCGATGCTATGCCAATCCGAAGCCAGGATCCAGGAACTTCTTCCGGGTATCCCACACGGGTGCAGGGTCCCAAAGCCTTGGGTCTTCCTCGACTGCTTTCCCAGGCCACAAGAAGGGAGCTGGATGGTAAGTGGAGCTGCTGGGATTAGAACTGGCGCCCATATGGGATCCTGGTGCATTCAAAGTGAGGACTATAGCCACTAGGTCACACTGCCAGGCCCAACCGGCAACTTATAATTCTTGGGGAAATATGGTCAGTATTAATGTTGACATGCCTTTGGGGCCACCAGGGGATGACTCTGGAACACAAGGGATGAGAGAGAAGTTAGCTGTTTTACTTTGACTTATTACATACATTTGTAACAATATGTTTTTCCATTTATTATTGTTATCATTTTATGATACAATTCTGTAAGCCCTGGAATTTCCCTTACCTGTTTCCAGGTCACCCTCACCCCTACTTCCTGAGTTCTCCTATATCATTACAACAGCACACTTCCTCATAAACAGTCTTAAGTCCATCCTTGCGGGCATGGAAAATGGCAGAGAGTCAAGCATCTCATTGGCAAGAAACATCGACTTTGGGGTCTAGGGGGCAGAATTTCCAACAGCCTGTTGGCTGTTGGCAGGTTCCAGGCCAGGTTGGACTCCATGCTCAAAGCCCTGATTCCAGCCACTATGAAAATGCTGGCTGCCCAACAGTGAGCTCTGGGGTTTTGGGGGTATGAATTGCTGCCTAGGCACCTCCATGTTGAGCCCACTGTGCTTTTGGGTTGTGAATCAATCTTGAAGACTTCCAATGACAGAGTAACTTTTCCTTTGAAGGTAAGTGAGGGTACTGAGACCTGGTGGTTTGGAGGAGTGGGACTAGATGGTCTTTATGGGTCAGACTGATATAACAGTCTCCTTTGAGTCCTGTGTAGAAGTTGTTGTCACCGAACAATATGGACCACTGTACACCAGTCTATGCAAAAGCTAAGGCTTGGGGCTTATCTAACAGGGCAATATCCTAGTACCTGACAGAATGCTTGATCAGGAGAACGGTCACATTAGGCAGGGTCATGACATTAACCAGCACATGAGAGAACCATTTTCAGGGATAGATTCTGTGGGGGATGTGTGGGCCAAGTCTGTGGAAATACTTGTCCCATTGGTTAGCTCAAGAGTTGGGGTGGTGATGGGATAAGCTAGGTGTGACCAAGAAGCCTGCCATCACTCACTGGTAAAGGAACCGACAACAGTCTGGGCTGGTCAAGGCAGCACCACCTGAATGTGCATCCTAATAGGGTGTGGGGTGGGCCAGGCTGCAATGTTCACCAGCTCATACATGGTCAAATGGAAGGCCAGACTATGCCAGACCCTGGCCTAACACCCACTGGCATGTATCAGAACTGGGTCTGAGAGTGGCTCAAGTGGAAGAACTTGGGAAACTCCCCTGATGGGTCATAGCTTTCACTAGAGAACACATGGTCCAGGCCTGGGAGTTGGGCAAGCTGGGAAAAATACCTCCAATGGCTGGCTAATGTGTGGATGGGTAATGGAACGGGGTGGACAAGGCAGGGCCAAACAAACCTTAGTTCACAAGCGAAAGTAGAAATCAAGATGGAGCATAGATCATGGCAAGCTAAATTGTTACACTTATTGGTCTGCATGAGCCAGGGATGCTAGGCCACAGCATCTAAGGCAAAGGCCAAGACAGGTGAGGGGCTATGCCAAGCTGAGTCAGAACAACCACTGGCATGTGAGCAATCTATGGCTGGGAACAGGCCCAGTTGGAGAGCTAACG